ACTGTAAGTCAGGGGTGAGTGGACTTCTTGCTTGTGGGATCTACTTTATTTTTCCCCAGGACCCCAGGCTGAAACCAGCTGAAGCCAAGTAAAACAAAACAGTGGCTTAGAAGTAAGGAACAGCGCACCTCTGAAGAATTTGTCTTCAGTACCAGAACTGAGCTCATGGCCCTTTCACACAAAAATCCATTCTAGGTTTCCCCCAAAGCTTTCTTCATTTCATTTGGAATAAATGTTTGGAATAAAAACATTTCTAATTTGGAATAAAAATGTTTCAGTTGTTAGACATTTTGGAGTCAGAAATCCTTGTTGAGTGACTTCAAATCTCCCAGAAATCTACAAACGTATTCTGATCTACCTTCTGCTCACTCCTGCTGGAAACATTGTGAAGCACAGCTCAGATAATATTAAGGAATATCAGAAAATTCAAACAAATTCTTAAATTTGGAATCTAAATATTTTGACTTAGAAATAAATTTCACTTCCCCCAAAAAGTGTGTAGGAATCCAGACCAGCAGCATATGTATCTACAGCTGTTCTGGAAGTGAACTGATAAAAGGGTGTCTCCACTAGAAGTATTTTTCTAAAGGAAATCAACAATCTGGCTCAAATAACACCTTCAACGTTGCCTACTATTGAACTCATTCATGTCTCAATGCAGAAATGTACAACAACTAACATACTATATCTGTAACAGTTAAAATTCAACCAATGACATAATTTCAAATGGGGCAATTGCAGACACCATTTCTTGTATTTTAAAAATAAACTTCTCAAGGGCATTTGACTGAACAAAACTGCTGCAAAATACGTCCAAACAGAACCTACCCAACAGACATTTTATTGCAATTTTCCATAAGAGAGAAAGAACCAAAATATTTGATATTTCTAGCTGGCTATTATTTCTTTGTCATAAACTTTGAAGCTCCAGTGCATAGTTATAAATTGTCTAGCCATCTTGTAAAATAGGCAAAAGATTCAGTGCTTTATACATCTTTCTGCTTTTCAATATGTTTCTCTTCTTTTCTTTTCATGTCTGGTAATACATTTTTCCTTGACCTCCAGATCAACTTTCTCCTGATCATATAAACCATAATCGGATACTTTTAAATGTACAATTGGTGAGTGCTAATGGTAAAGTATGGAACCTACTGCAAGGAATTATATTATAAATATAAAAAGAAGAACTTTTAAAATGCTGAAGTCAGTCCTGGCCTGCATTGCTCTTCCAGTACATGTGCAAATATCATGTAAATTAGGAAGTATTATAAGATGGACCCGGAGAGGAAGAATGCTTACTGGTTACTGCTCATATGTTCATTTAATGAAACCAGAATATATTCTCTCCACTCTTCCCCAGCTACAAAGAAATCTGATGATCTTTCCCCCCATAAGGGATGAATCCAATATTTGAATGTTCTCTTTGGGTTCTAAAACCAACTCTACAGCAACAAAAGTTTAAAGAGCTCTAAATCTCAAAACATAGCAGTATAAATAAAAATGTAGTTATGAGCACTCTCCTTTTTCTTGTAACTTGGAATGTAGCTAGAGAAACTGTACATTGGCAAACACATCCCAATAACAGTAGTTTACAGAATTGTTTTCTTTTGAGCCACTGAAATTTATAGAATGTCTCCACAGGCAAGGGAAGCTCCAGCCTTTGTTGGTGTAACTAGAATTACAACATTCCCATACACAGTGGTTGAATAAGAAGTATGTACAGATTTAACGGAAATGAATAGGAACATTGATACATCTAGTTCATGACTGTCTACGCTTAGCTACTCACAGCAGTTCTCCAGGGTTTCAGACAGAAATACTTTTTCAGGCCTATCTGGAGATATCAGGGAATGAACAAGGGGCTCTCTGTATGCAAGACACATGCTGTAACACTGAACTCCAGCCCTTCCCTGGGAATATCACTTCCTGTACTGCTCAGCCTCAAAAGCTCTCCCGAAGGGACACAGATCCACTCTCAAGTTTTCCCTTGGGGTGTAGAAGTTAGAGGCTCAATTTGGATGTAATAACAAATCATGGTTTGTCAGTATAATAATGTGGAGCACTAAGATTTGGGCTTGCAGGCACTTGCCTACTCTTCCTTCACAGGTGATGAGAGTTTAGATGCCTCAGCGAACAATAACTTTACAATTTTGTCCAAATACAACTAATTGCAGTTTGCACAAAACATAGTTAGCTCTCAAGGCAGTATGGCAAATCATGGTTTGATCCGGGTATGGGATCCTGGATTGAGGGAAAACTATGGTTTGCGCTAACCATATTTTGCTACATTAAGAGAAACAAGCCAAGTATTATTTACTGCAGTTAGAAGGGGAAGCTTCTAAGCTCCTTCCCAAACATGCAAAGGAAGAGAAGGAGGTTCGGCATCCTACCTGGTTGTTCGAATGTAGTTCCAATAGTGCTTTAATACAGAGGTTTTCAACCTTTTTGGGTCCATGGTTTCCTTGACCAACTACATACATTCTGTGGCACCCCTGTGAGGCTCAGGAGCCCAGTTATGTCACCCCCTGTCTGCAGAGCTGGCAGCCCCTCAACCCTTTTTGAACCCTTCCTTGTGCAGTGTTCCCTCAGCCTCCTCTCTTTTCCCCTCTCCTTGGCAGTCCAGCTGACACTCCTTGTCTCTGAGCTGACCCCCCGCCACAAAGAGAGGTGCATCCTCACACTGCCCCACAGGGGCCTGGGAAGCACCCCCAGAGACACCATTCGCCTGGGGAGTTTGTAGCCAGGGTTGCTGCAACAAACAGCTGTGCAAGGTTTTGGGAGGCAGAGACGTGAGACAGCATCAATGTAGGGATGGAAGGAAAGAGGGACAGAGGCCAGTGTTGCCTGCAGCACCCCGACCAACATTCAAGGCACCCCAGGGTGCCACGGCACACTGGTTAAAAACCACTGCTTTAATAGATTGAAACAAAGATTTAGGACATTTAAAGTATTTCTTCACACAATGCCTATGAACTTAAGGAATTTGCTAGCTACCACAGATGTGGTAAATGCCTTTAAATGTGGATTAGACAGGTTGATGGAGGATGCATCTATCTGTAGCTATGGCTCAAGATAGCTATGTGGAACTTCCAGCTTCATTATACCATTGAATAACTGTTCCTGGGAAACAACAATGGGAGAAGACAATTGACGAGTCCTGCTGCTGGGCTTCTGCAAGCATCCAGCTGGATTGACTGCCTCTCCCCCTATGAACTGACCTGGATCACCATTGGAGGCCCTTCTTCGTGTGCCTCCTCCATGAGAGGTCTAGAAGGTGGCTACACGAGGACAGGACTTTTTTGCAGTAGCTCCCTACTTGTGGAATGCTCTCCTGAGGGAGGCTCACCTGCCACCTTCATTATACACCTTTAAGGTGCCAGGCAAAAAAGTGCCTTTTCAACCAGCCTCTTTCGTGTGTGTATATGTGAGTATGATGGTAGTGGCGGCGGGGTTTACTTTGTTTTTCTTCTTGTTTTTCTTATGTGTTTTGTGTTTTTATCTTGTATTTTAATGCTGTGAACTGCCCTGAGAGCTTCAGATGAAGTGTGGATACAAATTTAATAAATAAAATATAAATATAAAAACCATAAATAGCTACTCATTTGTATGTTGCTCAGAATTAAATGAGGAATGCCTCAAGAACCATGCGCCATTTCACCTTGTCTTGGCTATAAAAAGGAAAGGGTCAGACATGGAAAAACTGCCCCCAAATGAGTGCTTGGACGCAAGTCAGCTCTTAATTAACATTCTGGTAAAGCATGAAAATAAAAGAGTGAAGCATGGGTATGTATAGGTGATTTTTTTAAAAAGATTAATGACACATTGTTCAATTTTATAGACTTTATGTTCAACAAATCTTAAAAGAAAATGCAAATGGTGTCTATATATGTGTGTGTACATATATATATACGCACACAGGAAGGAAAAAACTAAAAATAACACACTGTTAAAACCCATCCAGGAAGCCTAAAAAGGAGACAGAATGCCCCAAATGCTACTTCATCTCTTTAAAGTGGTCAAGGATAAGAAATTATTGCAATGATTAGTATCTTCCCTTCCTAAATTTTCCTTTTAGGCACAGTTGGATGAAACACCCTGTAGATTAGGAGGGAAGCAACTATAGTTTAGCATGCAGGGGAGAAATGACTTTGCAGCTTCTATTTGCCACAGGGAGCTAACTAACTAGTGGAATTAGATTTTTTTTAAGAAAGAAAGAAAGATTAGCTCCACTTCTTTGGGATAAATGCAGTTGTCAGTGCTGCCTGCTGCCTCTCTACTCAACAGAAGGCCTTGATTTGCAATGTAGGAGGACAGATGTTTTATCTGGGAACTTGTCCAGATCTTTAAAACATACGCAGATGCATACACGCACACACGTCCGCACTATTTGCCTCTTTGGTCCATAACAAAGGCTTCAACAGCATTGAGTCAATATAACAGACAAATTGCTGGATACTTAATACTGTCAGGATCGAGTTCTTGTAACACATGGACATTCTTACATTTTATCTTCTATATTATTCTATATTTTATATTATTCTCAGAAGCCTCTTTCTCATACACTTGCAATTAGAACTGAACCCACAGTGGTGGCACCGAGGAGACTTTTCACTGGTCCTTTTGACCCTTGCAAAAAACATGATAATTTTCTGAGAGTTGCAAATAGTGTTTGCCTACTGTGCAGGGTGAACAGTGTCGAGGGAGAGAAGGACTGGGCCCCTGTGGTTCAAGCAACCAAGCCAATTCTTCCTGTTTTGCTACAAGAAAATGAAACCACCCACACAACATATCAAGACTGGAACCATCTGATTGTCTCAATTATGGGGAAGCCTCCCTTCTTCCTTCTTTCCTCTCTCTCCCAAATCAGGAGCTTCATTTCCTCTCAGTGACATTGGCTATGTGGTGCCATAACATCAGGACACTGATAGGTTCAGCTCCCAGAATATTCTGAAAACCAATCAGAGCTGTTTAATTGAAACTATAAATCACAACATTCTTACCTGTGTACCAGTTGTTTGCGACTTACACAAATGGCTGTCTCGTAGTCATGAGTGACACACACTTTATGTGGGCTGCACTTTACCTTCAAGCATGGGTCTTTGGAAGGATCAAGAGCTATTAAAAGCAAGATATAAAGAAATAGTTTAGAAAATTATCTTACTTCCCTCATTAGCCAAAATAATGAGCCAAGCATCTCATGAGGAAACACTTTTCAGTGTAAAAATGTTTACCCCATTTATCTTCACCACTCTGCAAGAAAGATTATGCTCAGATACAGTCCAATGTACTTTATAGCCATCCAATTAGGATTCAAAGCTACACAGATCTGTTATCCAGGCCCTGTGTTCTAACCACTGCAACATCACAGGTTTTTTGCTAGTTACATAGACTTTTGCTTGGATCTGCAGAATCACAGAACTGTACACAGCTGGATGAATCCACCTCTTGCCTCCCCATGCCACCATTTAAGTGGGACATAACTATTTATTATTAGATCATAGATAAGTACAGAGCCAATAGCAATTGATATGATAAATAAATAAATAAAAAAGTAGTGAAGGTGCCCTACTGCTCAGGGTGAGGAACAGAAACAAAAACAGGTTGCATGAAAAACTAGGTGCCGAATAACAATTCTCCCTGGACTCCAAAATATTCGTCATGAAAAACTGCTTTCTGTATCCATTATGCATTGTTCCTTTGATTTTAACATCCACATCCTAATTGATTTTTAAAACTATTTTTAGATAGATCACTCTATATTTTTTTAAAAGAAGAATACTGCTTAGAATATCACCAGTCTATCATGCATGGAACTCTGGACTGTAGCAAAATGCCACAGTTATCTATTGAAATAACAATTGTACAGCCAGCTACTTAATGATTGCTACTGTGCAGCAGGACATGTAGTGATTGCTCAGCCCCATATAAAAGAAGCAATCTTGTATTACTACAATGTGTGATTTCTTGTATTCAGCATAATTCTAAAATCAACAAAAACACAGCATGCCAGATCTAGCTAGTGCCAGCATGACATGCAAATACTAGTGTAGAATAGAGATACTATCATTATTGCAGCAATCACACCTTTAAACATTAACTCACAAAGAATCCAAAAGAACCTTTGAAGTTCTCTGTACACACATGCGGATGACGCTCCATTTGCCAGTTAAATACAATTACACCTGGGTACCCATCTCGGCAGAGCAAGGCAGCACCGATCCAGGATGTAGATTCAAAGGAATTAATAAATGTCATATCGTGGTTAAACTGCAGGCTGTCTTTTTAATTCCACAGAAAGAAAAATAATTACAAATCTGGAATTTTGCCAGGACACAAGGATTAAAACCTTTTCACATCCAAAAAGAGATCTCGGGGGACTGTAAGCAGCCCACTGATGTTCTGCCAACAATTAGATGGGGCTCCTATGAAAATGTCCCATTTAGCTTATGATAAACCTTTTTTGTATGCAGCATGAATATGTGAACATAACAGAAGGGTAGAAGAAGGGAAGTGCCTGAAACTCAAGAGCAGTATTATTATTGGACCAATTTTTGCATTGTTGCTTTCTATCCAAGCTACTTCAAATACACTCATCCTGTGTGGATAATGAATGCACCAGGCGAGCACGGCATCCTTCTTGCATGCTCTGCCTCCAATGTCCATGTGTTCACTGTCAGTGTAAGTCTATGAATGCATGGCTGAATGTATGAAAGACTCCTCAGTGCATTCAGAAACTCTTATCACCTCCTGGACAAATGTCTGGACACTGGAAGACACAGCCAGCAGGTGTGCTGATGTCAGCAGGTGTGTTGCTGCTTCCTCCTCACTTGCTGAATGAAGTTAGGTAGGATGAAGTCCGTGGGCTTGCACCTGGCTTTCACTTTGAATTGCAGCCGTGGGTGGGCAGTGGACAAGTGGGTGACAGGTGGTATGCAAGCAGGCATTGGTGGTTGTTCTGCCACCCTCCCAAACTGCTGTCTAGTGCAGAAGGCTTAACATGCTGCATGTTCTATCAGGCTTTGGGCTGCTCACTCAATGAGAGACAGCAGTATGGTCCTGCTTCCCATTCATGTTATTTAGTGAAATTGTGCAGCCTGAAGCAATTGACATTTATTACTTCATTTATCTTTAGAATAACAATGTTTGAAAGGTCAGTATTGTTATCCCTCTGTTGTAGAAGAGGAGAGGGCCCGAGAGTCCGCCCTCCATGGCCTTCTAAAGCTTCATTGTTGAGGTGAGAACTATTGTAAATACAGTAATATTTCTAAGTTTCTACTACATTTTTCAATACAATTTATTATTTGGAAAAATGGAATTCATGGCATGGAAATGGTTTGTTTTACTTTCAAGCATTTTAGAATGTGCTTCCCCACATTAAGTGCTACACTGCAATCTTTAACTCTTTCTGACATTCTGTATAGATTTCTGAGTAAATATATCTGCTGAGCCATAAAGAGTGCATAAATTCATGTTCTGATTAACTGAGAGCCATCTTCCAGGAAATTTTAGAAATGCTTTTCTGTCGCTCTAAAACTGTGCAAATAGTATTTCAGAAGAAGTACCACATGCATATTAGCCATGGCATGGCATCCCAGAAGAGTCACACCAATTAATCTAATTACATGTCAATTTAATATGCAGAATAGCTGCACTTTGCCACCTATGATACATATTCACAGCATTTCACAGAGGTGAATGAGTTCCTCACATTGGCTTTCATCTATCCTTAAGGGGAAAACTGCATGCTCTCAGATGTATGCTTATGAGGCACAGGGATAAATTATGTCTGACAAGGATAAATTAGTAGTGGATAGAAAGAGGAATGAAACCATTTGAGACTTTGATCATCTGACCCTGTGAGAAATGTTCTGGAGCCAAATCTCATGCAGTAACCATTCTCAAGCCAAGTTTCATTCTGCCACCGCTCAGAAAGACGCCATTCCATCCTTTACTAATATCTTCCCTTTTCTACCTCATTTTTAGCCCTTTAGTAAATCTCTACATCAAGCAGGTTTCAGCAGAAAGTCTTGAAGTCATATTGACACAATACACCAGATACTCAAAATTCAGGTAGCATTGGAAATGAGGCGTGACAGGCAATGTAAAATAGAAGGTGAAAGACCAGAAATTTGGGTTACAAACAACTTTGCTCATAAAAAAGTGGAGTTGGGCCTGGCTGGTGGGCTGGATCCTTACCTCCCCCAATAGCAAATTTGATAGGAGAGCGGGCCCTCCCATTTGTCAAAGCCTGGTGTCAGATGACAACTTCAAAGGAGGTTGCTCTCAGCACCAGTGGAGCTGATTAACACTGATTGCACAGGACCCCTTTGAAGTCTGTTTGCAGGTTTGCATTTAAACCATATCTGCAAAGAGATAGGAAAGTACTCCATTTTCAGGTGTGGCTTGAACTCAAACTATGCCAGCAAACAGACGTTTTTTCATTTCCAGTTGCAGGGTTAGCTGGAGACCAAACTGTGGCTGCAAATGGACTTTGAAGGCATGCTATCAAGTCAGGCATTGCAAGTGCCAACAATCAGCTGATAGTGTAAAATGTACATAATCAGTTATTTTGTCATAATGACTATCTTGTATATTGTTCCTTCCAGTAGCACCTTAAAGACCAACTAAGTTAGTTCTTGGTATGAGCTTTCGTGTGCATGCACACGAAAGCTCATACCAAGAACTAACTTAGTTGGTCTTTAAGGTGCTACTGGAAGGAATTTTTTTTGTTTTGACTATGGCAGACCAACACGGCTACCTATCTGTAACTTGTATATTGTTGCTGTTTACGCATGCAAACCCTGCCCCCCCCCCAATTTCTAGAAGAACCCATCAGGATGAACTGTTTAAACTGTCAATCCAAAGCAATAATACACAAGGTAAGGTGCTGTTAAGGAATAAATCTAGTAATTGCCAGTGCTAACCTAAACATGCTTACTCAGAATTAAGTCCCACTATGTTCAAGGCAGCCTTACCCTTTTGCTTTGGAATAATCTTAATTTAACTCAGTGGGACTTACTTCTGTGTAGACATGCACTGGATTGCACTGAATAATTGCTCCTGTGAGCCCAAAATACACCACCCACAAAGGAGGTTACCCATTACCCATTTGCATAATTTACTGCTCTGAGCCTTGTGTTCTTAATGTCAGACTTCACTGGGGTGGGGAATTTTTAATTTGTCTCGCTATCACGCATGACTGGATCTCACTGAATCACTCCTGATGCAGCGGTGCAGCAAAATGATTGCCCATCAGCAAAGAAGGCTCGTTGCTGCATCTCAACACAAATCACTCTTCAGAGCTTGCATAATTCAATTGGGAGAAGTGTCAGAGATGGGACACGAGCAGCTGTCTGTGGCCCAATGTCTGCTATCTGAAGAGTCTGCTTGCCCTGTTGTTCAGGATCTATTTTAAACAGAGATAACTGTTTTGTTGTCCTTAGGAAGTATGATGACTTGCATTGTCAATACTTGCCCAGCTTTGCTAACCAGAGTTGCCAAGACAGAATAGAATGGGTGGATGGCACTTCCAGGTTGGCGCCATCGCCGAATGGCGGACTCCCTCCGAGCTCCGGAGGGAGCCTGCTCGGCAGGGGCTGGGTCCTACCGTGCCGGCGACGCGGGGACCCTTAAAAACCACTGGCATGGAGCCAGTGGACATGGTTGACTCGGTGGGCACCGTTAGCGCCCTCCCGACTCGTGAAGTAGCCTTTTTAAAGGCTACGGAACGGGTGCCGGGGAGCGGCGTGGTGCTGTGAGTCCTCCGCTTTCCCTGCCGAGCGAAGCCGCATGCCATTCGACGGAGAGCGCTGACTTCTTCTATTGAAAATTTGGACTATAAACAACAACCCGTGAGTAATTTGGAAATTGGATTTAAAAGGGGAAAATTTTTTCGGATTCGGTACGAGCGGGGGAGATCCAAAAAGGAAGTCAGTCTCCTCCCGATTGTAAACATCTTAAAACAAGGACCAGGCAACTAAGGTCGTGAAAGGAGCTCGTTTATTGATCAAAATTATTAATTCCACGATGGGAAATTATAAGAATTGTGCTGGAGGAGAAAAGTGGATGGTGAGGATGAAAGTGCAACCCCCCCGGGAACCGGGGTGACCCGTGAA